GGGGGGGGGGGGGGGGCAGGTAAAATGATGGCCAGGGGAGACCTAGACTTTGGAGGAGCTTTAATACAGATCCAGGAGCCTGGCTCCTTCGCATGGCTAGCACGCTTCAGGAGCTTCAGCAGACGTGAAAATGCTGGGTTTTGTTTTTTTTTTTTCTTTCTAAACAGGCAAAAAGAAGGGATATATCTAAAGATACCAGAACTAGGAGGCTCTTTCACAGCTGTGTTTACAGGCAGCTATTTCTGTAGAACAGAGGGAGCCACAGATGTCAATTTGCCTTTGGTAGGAATTTTGTTCCGCATGAAGGGGTGTACCAGGAGAACTGCCACGCCTGGGAGGCGGTCGATGGAACAGGGCCGGGCACCAGCCCCCCCCAGCACACAGCTTTACTTGCACCCTCAAAATCATTAAAGCAAAGTCTTTATGAGCTGTGGAGGGGGCTCTGTCTTCCCAGCAGGCTGCAGACAGGAGAGGTGTGCTGTGAACATAGCAGCTCTCCAGGATGTTTGGAGATCTATCAGTCCTTGGGCAAATCCCCTACCATGATAAAAATTCCTCCTTTGTTCTCCCATTTTTGGGGAGGGGGGAAGTACTTGGCCTTTCTTTGAGGTCATTCTAATTTATCTCTTCAGTCTTTTGCTCTCTAGGTGGGGAATCAGCCGTCGATCTGGCAGGCAGTGGGCTGCAGAGGAAAACTGGCTCAGAAAAAAAGTATCTGGAGCCCCCTCAGAGTTATTTGTTCCTGGCTGCTGATGGAAATAGTCCCCATTCAGGACTTCTTTACAGGCTGGCAAAGCTCGATTGGGCTTTTTTCCTCCAAAAAAATAATTGTTTTCCATTTCATCCTATTTCTCACAAGCAGCTTGAGGTAGATGTGAGCTCACCTCATCCCAGGCATTTCCCTTAGCCTGGTGCAGAATGAAAATCACAGAGGGAGGAAACTAAACAGCATGCTAGTCATCTTCCCTCTGCCACCAGCTCCGCTAACTTCTGGCACTACGCAGTGCACGTGTTTGGTGTGGCTGTACCCTATAGATAGCACCTTAGTAAGTAAGAAATTATTCCACTTGCACAGCTACTCTTAGGGGAGACCACCGTGGCAGCTCGCAGGAGCTTTTCTTCTGAGATCAGACCTTGGAGGATGCTGTCCTCGTGTGTCAGCATGGGCGGGGGTCATGTCTTAAACCTGATCTGCACAAACCAAACTGTTTAATAATTCAGAGTGTGGCTCAAAAGGAAAAAGGGACTCAAGATCCTTCTGGTATTTTCTGGCTGCTGGGTGCTGTGCTGAGTTTTGCTCTAGTGAACAAGGCTGAGTCCAGATTCTCCCCCCTTCAGATTTGTATTGTGGAGATGTGGATGATGTGACTTATGGTGTAGGTTTTCTTTCGCCTGCAAGCCCATCTTTCTTCTGTCAACTTTCAGTTGCAGCACAAGTTACTTGGTAAGTGCCCGAATACACCACCAAGAGAACGGTTTATTTCAATAAAAGCAGCTTTTCACTTCTAAGAGTTTGTGATTGCTTTAAAGTGTTATCTTCCTCCTAAACTTGCAGTTGCCCAGAAGATGCAGCAGATAGGATGTAAATAAACTACGGCAAACTTTCCTAAAGCAACTTGTGTAGCCCAGGCTGGGTGACGCGGGGTGGCAATACCTGCAGGTGCGGGGCAGGCGCTGGGAGCGTTTCCCTGGGACGTGCGGTGCAGCAGGAACGGTGGTAGGTGCCAGCGGGCTGGAACGAGCCCTTGGGAGCCAGCGGCAGGACAGGACAAGTCAGGACGATCCGGCAGCTGCTTGATTCTGCTCCGAGGTCTTTTTTATCTCCCCAAGACGGCACAAACCACCCTCGTCCCTGCCAATTTCAGCCTGACGGTGGTCACAAGGAGGGTACTGCAGCCTGGTTGTGCGATGCTGAAGATGGTGGCGGTGTGGTGAACCTCGGGGGGCAAAGGCAGGGGCGCGGGGTTGTGAGACAGATGCCTGCTCCCCCCAGGGTGGGCTCCCTCACGGGCTGCTGGGCCTCCCTCGCAGCCGCCATGTCACCCTCAGGCCGCCTCGTAGGGGCTGCAGCCCAGCCCGCCCCAGGAGCCTGGGCTGGGCCTGGGGGCGAGTTTTTGGGCAGCGGGCTAGCCCCTG